CCTTTTATTTGTTGGCAATTAAATAGCTTTTTGTTTTTTTTGTATATAAAAGATAGTTAGAAATGTACATAATTTATTTTTCCCCAATTAACTTTATAAGAGTGTTGTGTGTGATACTTACTGATCACCTATTTAGGGGATTCAATATATTCCATACTAACTAAGGTGAACTATACGATGCATTAAACTATGTATTCATCAAGTAAGATGTGATTTCAGATTATCATAGTTTTCAGGAATAACGCTAATGTAAATTCATACCAAAGGCTATAATTTGGTATGTCATATTAAATACAATTCATTCTATAAGCACAAATCTACGATAAACACTCTTGTCAAAATAGATTTGTTTAAATTAAAATGATTACTCATGAATGTTATGTATAGATTATATTATATATTAAAGGTTTATTGCATTATATTGAGGTTATATGTAATATTATTTAATTATAAAAGCGTTTAATCTTGTATATTGTAAATTCATTATATAGAAGTCATTGTAAATTGAATAACTTAAATATAATCGTTTATTTATATAAAGGGATATAATTATGTTGTTAGGTTGCAGAATCTTAGAATACTTAGATCATAGACACTAATAGAACTATTGGCGCAGTTAAGAAATGGGTCTATTATTAGAGAACATATTATCTTTAAAAAAAATCCATTGATTTTAGAGAAATAATGAATGACATTACAAAGACATCTATAAACGAATTTCGCAAAGAAGAAAGCAACCCTAGAATATTACTTGAACTACATTAGATAATTTATATATATATACATATTGCATATTCTTTATATAAATTAAAAATTACGTCAAAATTAATGACAAATTTTTCTGAAATTTGCAGAGTATGTGCTTGCTCTCTGCAGGCTAAAATATGATTTTAGTAAAATTAGGTGTCCTTATTAAATTAATAAAAAATGCTAGGTATAAATAAGTGAAGTTCTTATAAATTTGCTAAAAAAATTGGGACCTATGAAACTTATCCCTGAATTTTTTTTTAAACCTCTCTATAACTCACGTAATTTTGTATATCTTATTTTGTTAATAACCTTCAAAATTATATAATCTCATTTATATTTTTCCTACTATTCGTATTGCTAATTTAGGCATGTATAAAATTTTTTTTGAAAAGCTTAAAGCTATCATTTATCGCATGAAGAATAGAGGCAAAATATAAATTAGGGGAAAAGTTTGTAAAAAATTAATGATAAAAGAAAGAAAGAAAGAAAGAAAGAAAGAAAGAAAGAAAGAAAGAAAGAAAGAAAGAAAGAAAGAAAGAAAGAAAGAAAGAAAGAAAGAAAGAAAGAAAGAAAGAAAGAAAGAAAGAAAGAAAGAAAGAAAGAAAGAAAGAAAGAAAGAGAGAAAGAAAGAAAGAAAGAAAGAAAGCTGAAATTCAAAAGGTAGGTACAATCTTCCTGTTAATTTTTTAGTATATTGAAGGTAAATTCCGTTCAAAATCAAGTTCCCATTTTATTAAAACCCTAATATAATAACTATCTTAATATGATAAGGAACCAAAAAAATATATAGTATACTGATGTTATTATTTTTTATAACATTAGATCAAGATAAACGTCACTTAAATGTGGTTGTAAAATTGATGTAAAAAAAATATGAATAGTATGGGTAATTATAGATAAGAATAAAAAATATATATAGTACTATTGGTATCTTGCGCTAAATAAGGTTAAAATAGTATTTATATATTTAAGATATTACACATAAAATTTTCCAGTGTTTAATATATATTTTTAAAACATCCCTTCCCCCCCCCCTCCATCAATCCCTTATTTTCCTAATTTTACAATACATCTATTTCCGTTTTTTTTAAGATTTTTCTAATTTATAAAAACTTTAAACAATTTTAATATAAATATTAAAAAAAACATCTCAACAAGGAAATATTAATAATCATTGCTTAATTTATTGTTTATTACCTTCTGCCATCATACGCATATTAAGATAGATAGTTGACATATCCTTATTCGTTAATACGCTTAGCAGTCTTAAAAAAATTATTTTATATTATTAATACAATTAAATTACAACAGATATATAAAAAAAATTAAAATTAAAAAAAAAGAAAGAAAATAAAATGAAATGAAGGAAATAATGATATAATAGTTTTTATGATTGATTGATTTTATTAGACGTTTGTCCCTCAATTTATTTTCGAGAGAGAATGAGTAATATCTAGCAGTGTTACGAAATAATTATTACATTGTATTATCACGTGAACCAATTTGAATCCATATTTTTTTTATATCAGAATCGTAAAATATAAATAAAAACAAATAATATAAATTTTTTGTACTGGCAGGCCTCTGTTGTATTAATAAGCTAAAATAATGATATATATTTTTTTAACATGGAATCTATTTACGTAATCAGCTGTAATCAATTTCATAGGCTGCAATAGACGCCCCCTATAGAAAGTCCTTTTAAAATGGCGGATTTTAATGAAATGCATACAATTTTTTAATTCTCCGCCACACGGTGTCTACAACTATCATAATATACCTCGTCCTACCTTACCATTATTTATAGTCATCTTTTTAAAAACATTAGCAATGGCAGAAAAATTTTTTTAACAGTGACAATTATTTTGTCAAATATTTGTTAAACTACCTAACTTTAGTTAACTATAAAACAGTGTAGCTATGTTTTTAACCAAAAATTTCCCAATCAATCTCTTCGAGCTGAGACTCCACTTAGAGGCTTAATTCATTTTTTTTAGGCTAAAAGCTTGACTTAATCCACAATAGAGATTGGTCATAGTTATGTAATTTAACAACGCTAATTTTGTTTTCGCCTAATAGTTTTAGAATGATAAACCATTTTTTTAAAAAAAATGATGCATTGCAAAAGACTTATAAAAAACCTTAATTTTTAATATAAAGTATATAATATATTTCTTTATATAAAATTATAAATGGACAAGAGTCAAATTAAGCATCCAAAAGTCTTATATAGATATACTTAAGATGAAGCAATATGTATTGTAATACTTATAAAAACCTTACTTTTGAATATTAGAGTATAATATATTTTTCCTTGTTTAAAAATTAAGCATCCAAAACTCTTATATAGATATACTTAGGATGAGGCAATATGTATTGCAAAAGACTTATTAAAACCTCAATTTTTTAATATTAAAGTGTAATATATTTTCTTGCATAAAATTGTAAATGGACAAGAGTCAAATTAAGCATTCAAAACTCCTATAAAGATCTACTTAAGACGAGACAAATTAGTTGGTTAGAATGTAAGATAAAAAATTCGATCGGAAAGTTATATGTTTATGTGAAGGATCATTTTTAAAAAATTAATATTTTTATTCTTACTTGGTTCTGCGTAACAACTTGAAAATGATTAATATGTTAAGTATCAATTTAAAGTTGTTTAATTATCATTGACGAAAATTCGGTGAAAATTCACTTTTGAATTTTAATATATAGAAAATAAATTATTTTGTAGAAAAAAAAATGCTACAATATCCAATTCGAAATGCCAACAGGTATGCTACAATAATATTAAGTCCCACTTCTTAGACTCCATGTGTGTACAGAGAAGGGAAGCTGAATTCCGGTTCAGAATTATTGTATAGAAGACCTCATTTTGGGCGGCTAAAATCTGCAGATTAAAGTTTCTAAGAAAAATCAATGCGAAAGCAGCTGACCGCTTTAGATATTTTTTAATTTTAAAAACTTAATTGAGGCAGTCTTAATCGGTTCTGATTGATCCGCACTTAGGGTCAGTTATAATATAATGCATCATATTAAAAGATCATCAAAAAACAATAAAAATAAAATGGCGCTTACCAATCATCTGCAGCGCAATTAAGATTGATAAGATCATCTTCATCTTTCTTTTTCAGGAGTAAAAATTTGATTTTTAAAGGTTATACAAAAAAAAAAAATTTTTATGATTGAAAAATGAATATCTCGATACTAGGTAAATGATACAAATATACGTGGCAATTTATCATTCAAAAATATGGGGGTAAGGGGTTTATTTTAAATTTTAAAAACAATAACAAAACAATATTTTCTACCAGATTGACAATTTTAAAATTATCTAATTTTGTAACAAAAATAATCTAATTTTGTAACAAAAATAATCTAATTTTGTAACGAAAATGTATAATTTTGTAACAAAAATGTTAAAATTTTGTAAAAAAATATATAGATTTAGAAGAAAAATAAATAAAATGGAAAGAATAAAAAAAAATAAATAAAAAGAAGTAAAAGATTATAAAGAAATTTAAATTTTTTTTCCCCCATCTAAACAAGGACTGTAAAATTGTTGATTGATTAACACCTGATCTCCCGACAACGGGTTTCAGGATAAAATCGCACATACTATGCTAAACATCTGCGTAGGCCTGTGCGCCGCCGAACCTTTAGACTTCTTATATCAGCGCCAATTTTAAATGGCGGGCCATCGACGCCATTTTTTAATCGGGCATTTACCCGTATAAAAATATATGCTAATGGATATGATAATAATATAAGTTTTAATATATTCAAGTCCAAGTTGAGAACTGACATGCTGAAAACACAGTTAAAATTACCAAATTTAGCAAAACTTGCTAGGAAAATACTATCGACTCAGCTAAGCTAGAGTTCTGAGTTTAAGTATATTTCCTCAAAAAAAGACTTTCTTTATCTCCAGATTACTCCGATAAGGGTCATATTTTATACATGGTAACTACAATGATATATATATATATATATCCTTCTAATATAAATTTATAAAATTCAATTTTGTATATTTAAAATTTATATATATACGTGTAAAATTGCATTTATGTATCCATTGTATTTATTATTCACTTTTTTTTATAAATAATGTTAAATTTTTTATAATAATCTTGCCACGCATTGCTTTAATTTGTTTATTTTTATGTATCAATTTTGAAAATCGAAACAGTTTAGAAATTGCTAAAAAACTGATAAATGCTTCCTTCCAAAAATTACTGGAAACAACGTTACATTAACATTTTTATTATTATTATTATTATTATTATTATTGGTAATGATACAAAATTAAGTCGCAAATTTTTCGTAAATTAACCATGTAATTGTATTTACAACTTCCGTTTAGTAAGGTATATAAATCATTTAGCAAGCTATGTTAGCGGATTCTTGAGCAGGTTCTATCACGTGGAAAGGAATTCTGGGGTAAATTTCTAAGGCGACTAATTCGCAACTAAGGGAATTGGTAAAGTTTGTTTCTGAACTTTGCCTGACCTTAGCTATCAAACACAAACCTAAGAATATTGGAATAATATATATATATAATTTTATTTGATTGGAAATGAAATGCGTTTTTATGATAATTAGTTAAAGAAATAATTATTTTTATTACATACCTGGCAGGTCATTGTTGTTCTTATCATTACCGCTTACCATGCCATAATCTTCAGAACCATTCAGATCTATCAGAAATATGTTCCCCTCCATGTTTTCTGTATAGTTTTCCGAGATTTCTTTAGAACACTGGAACTTTTGTTGGCTCGTTGAAATATTGGAAGCACAGGAAATTCCCAGAGTACAAGAGACTAACAGATGGAACATGAGGATACCAGCTTGACACTTCCATCCATTTGTAAAATCTGAATAATAATTTAAATTGTTAAAGAAAAGATATAAAGCTGGAGTTGTGCCAATTTACAAATTTTTCATCCACCCGATTCAATATTTCCCGATATAAGCAAAACCAATCCGAGATAACATTCTTATAAAAAAAATAATATCTATATTTACTATGCAAAAAGAAAGTAACTGTACTTATAGTACAGTTAAAAGACAAAACAAGAAACACTTCGTTTTATCATGGACACTACTACAATATTTGTACATTATCACCTCACAGGGTTGGGCAATAAGACGAAAACTTCAAAGTATCAAATACAAATACTCTTTTTTTTTTGTATTTAGGATCTTAAATTCTAAAAAAAATACAAAAGTATTTTTGCATTTACTCACGATTTCAGGAGAATACGAATTTTAAAAAAAAAGTAACTTGAATTTTAAAATATAAATCTACATTTATTTAATTTAAATACACTTAAAAAGACAACGGTGGCAGGTCAAGATGAAAATGCAAAGATTTATTTATAAAAAATTAAATTAACATTTTTATTGAACATATCTAAATTTTAAAGTTTATATAGTTTATAAAATAAAATGAAATAAGTTAGTATTTTATACAAGGTCGTTCGAATATCATAATTATTTTAATTAATATTTAATTTTAATTAATATTTAATTTTAATTAATTTTAATTTTATTTTAATTAATCATCTCTAACAAAATACTAAATTTGTGACAGAGTTAAACAAAAAAAATTAATAACTTCCGTTTAAATCCCAATTTACGAAAGTTTAAACCGAAAATATAAAACTTTTTGAAGGATAATGCTATAGAACTAGAAGAAGATATAGACTCCAGTTCTTAAATTAATTTTTTAATTAAGCTATTATGTTAATAAGATAATTTTGTCAATCGGTAACTCTAATACCAATAGCTACGATATCCTCTACATGCCAATCAAATTATAGATGGTGAGTATAAGAGGACATTTTTAGTAACTCTTACACACCCTTATTTTAAAAATTAGATGCACTAATACTAATAATCACCACATTCTCTACATGCCAATCAACAATTATGGATGGTGAGTATATGAGGATATTTTTAGTAACTCTTTTATACCCTTATTTTAAGAATTAGATACACTAATACTAATAATCACCACATTCTCTACATGCCAATCAACAATTATGGATGGTGAGTATAAGAGGACAATTTTAGTAACTCTTTCACACCCTTATTAAAAATTAGATGTGTATCATGTAGTAAGGGGGGAATTTTTTTTTGCATCATATGCTTTTCAAGCGGTGGGTCTTTTTATCGCTCATAATAAATCATTTATTACTAAATATCGTTCGGCATACAAACAGTGGAATATTATGTGTCGTAGATTTACAGTATATCTAATTTTATCAATTATATGACAATCAAATAATTTTTACCAATTTAGCGAATTATATATTTTACAGAAAACTATAAAATATTGATAAGGACATCAGAAAATATCTTTTAAAAACATTGTGGGATGAATAATATGAAGATTAATTTTAAATTTTATTTATATTTATATAGATGGCGTTAAATAATTGAATGCAAATTGTTGCTATATTTATTATTAAGAGCATTGATTAGTAAAATTTGTTAAAATATTAACAGTTATATATTATCTAACTGTCAAATGTGTCTGTAAAAGTGGAATTTTAGCTAGTATTTTGTAACTAATTCTATATAATAGAGGAATATCAACTATATGTCTACTTACTTTTTATAAATAATCTTATACTTGTATGGAATAAATTATTACCATGCTTTTATATTAATGTATATACAAGTAATTTATTATATTTTATATAAACTAATAAAAATATATTTCATATTTATTCCAGGCTTATTTTTTTAATTAAAATTAACCTCTTATCCTGTAAAAATATTTTATGACTACATATAGACTTAGGAAACCCGGCCGACGGCCGGGCAAAAGCGGGCTAAAGGCCCGCCTAAAATGGGGACTGAGGACGAAGCCCGCCGAAATTTTTTATTTCCCCCCCCCCCCTTATGAAAATCTTGGCTACGCCTATGATACTTCTAAATATCTATTTGAGTTTTTGGCAGAATATAAACAATTATAACATATTCCAATAATTTTTTGCAATATTTGAGTAATCTCAAAAATGACTTTGATTTGATTTACTTTTTTAGATTTTGTATTATAACTAAAAGAAGCACAACTGATTTGGTAATTAATGATAACAGATTCATTTGATAATGCTTGTTTTGAGAATATCTTACACAAAATATTTATAAATTTTTTCTTATTCAAACCTGATGTGGTTCATATACAGTTGCTAAAATTTTTGTAATCCCCATTCGATAATAATCAGAGCCATTATTTTGTTTATTTGAACCAATTCACACCTAATAGTACAAATACAGTACAATCACTTATTATTAATACTAGAGCTTTATGTCCAACTTTGAAGATAATCCTCCATCATACCGAAAAACTGAACCCCCTGAAGAATTCCATTAATAATGTTCTCTTAAAAAAATAGAAAGGATATCAAATCATATTTAAAAGTTGCATGATTAATTTTTGGTATACCAAACTTAAAACGGTTATATCAGATGCAGCGATCCATAAGCTGATCGTGACTGGGTGTAACTAAACTGAGAATTAAACTGAGAATGGATAGTTAATCTGAGAATATACAGATAAAATTTATTTATGGCTCAATAATATTTTAAAAATATAAATAGTCTTTTTATTATATAAATCAAATTTATCAAAAATTATCTGAATAAATAAAATGGTATAAGGAAGAAAAAGTAATCCATAAATTTATGTATGTATAGAACAGATATATTATATATAAGAGATTTCTTTATAAAATCTAAGTAGACATATATTTTATAATTTTCTATTATATATAATTGGTTATAAAATATTTAGTAAAATGCCACGTTTTACAGACTTACTTGACAGTTATATAATATATTATAGTTAATATTTTAATAAATTTTACTAATAAATGTTTTTGATAATAAATAGAAGTACAATTTGGATTTAATTCTTTAACTCCATCTATTTATTTAAAAATATTATTAAAAATTAAACATCTTATTATTTATCCCACAGTGGATGTAATAAATTAGATCTTTTCTTTTTTATATGTTTTTAGGGAAATCTATTTTTTTCTTATTTGAAAAACAGTTTTGAGTTAAATTTTTAATACGGATATTTTTGATATTATTACAAACTACTATTATTTTAAGATATAATAAACCAACTAGAGGTGGTGCGACAATAATATATAAAATCTTAAATGCTTTCATCATATCACTCTGGTTCTTAAAATAGTTAAAAAATGTTTTATTTATAATATGGCCTCCTTGCTGTGCATGTAACTTAAGGCTTCAATATATTGCATAATTTCTTCTAAAGATTTTAAGTGTTTTTGTTTAATCAACTTACCTATCATAATAAATTTTGATATAAGTTAACATCGTGAGTGTCATGGGTAGGACTGCAAATTAACCAGCATCTATTATTTGTGTGACTATATAATTTAAGATTATTACTTTAGCTACTGAGAGCATATGATTTCATATTTTAGAAAGCAATAATTGTCAACTGTGTAGTCGTTATATATATGGAAGATAATATTTTAGAAATTTAATATCTCACAAGATATTTCTCAATTACTTATCTAACTCTTCCATCATGTAATCTAAGAGGAAGCCCTAACCACCATATAGTTTTATGATTTGGATTGGTGGTTTATATTCTCTTCTTCAAGAATTGTTGATTTGGTTAGACCTATAAAATTTTATTTATTAGTCCATTCTATATATTTGTCAATGTAAGTTGCTAAGAATTATAATATTGCATTATGTGGTTATTATAAACTATTATCAATTGAGTCATATGAATGAATAAATTAACCTTTGACGCAATTTTTTTTTATATCAGCAATCGAATATATTTTATACTGTAATAAATAGATTTATAATTAAAAAAATATTATTTTTAGAAATGTCTTGTATTGTTTTCATTATTTAATTCATGTTTATTTGGAATGTATAATATAATAAATGACAAAATATAATAAATGACAAAATATAATAAATGACAAAATATGAAATTCAGAATATATGTTCAGAGTTAGCAAATTTTTAAAAAAGTATAATATATTAATATAAAACCCGGCTGAAGGCCGGATAAATGCGGACCGAAGCCTTGAGCCCTCTGAGATTGTAAAGGCCAGCGACGCCTCTGCTCTTCAATTGTTGATTCACCTCAGATATCACACAAATAACGCTCCATACATCGATGCTTCCGAAAACCAAATAGGATAATCTTTCTGGGGCTTTAATAATCTATTTGTTTCATATCAGGAAGCTTTTCTGCTGTTTAACATTCCGTCATACGCCATTAGTCACACCAATGCCAAAGAAGATCTTGCGCTGGTGTAGGAGCCTTATTAGCTATTGACAAGGTTATACCACCCATGATCTTCATTGATTCAACGGCCTGCTATTTTGTATAAATAGGGGGGCTCCAGGTCTCCACCCATCGAAATAGTTATAACACAAATACTGGAAAATTTAGGTCTACCTGACTTTACTGCTATATCGCCAAACATTTAGTAGGTACCCACCAACGAAAACCCAGCTGACGAACCATCCAGGATCTTTTGGTGACGGTGCCCCTATCACTTTGTTTGAACAAGACCCAATTACAAGCACAGGACAAATCGAGGAAATCATAAATTGGGTTGACCAAGAATGGTCCTTAATAGGATCCGAAGCAATTTTTAATCCATCGTTAATCTCGGGATTGCCAATACCTTCCACGACAATTTGGCAACTAGACCAAATATATTGTCGGTCTAGAATTAGAGTGCTCCACTCGACATTTTCAAAATTTTTGAGTTAGAAGTGGGTAATAACTTATTTATGCTCAATAAATGTAAAAATAAAAACTAGGTTAAAAAATATTAATTTTTGCCAAAGTTATTGTCAAAATTGATCAATAACTTTTTCCTGTATTTTATTTTAAACTTTAATGTTGATTTTCTCATTTTAAACATTTGCGCAAGTGAAGCACTCCAATTCTAGACCAAATATATATCAACTCGAACGAAGTAGCCTAAACAAGACTATACAAGCCGAAATTTCAACAACAACAACAGTATACATCTTAAGAACAATTCATCACCCCGATAAATATATATATATATAGCGATAATAATAACATCTCTTGGTTATTTCTTTTTTTTCTGATTATATTTATATATATATATATAATATACACTAAGAGACATTATATTCTTATTCTTTAGTTTCACGAATTACTCTCGAAATATTTCGACTTAAAATATTAATAAAAAGCATACAAGTGCAAAAAGCCATCAAGGCCAATTTACTTGGCTAAATTTTATATATTAGCCCATCTATAAGCAAAATCAACTGGCTTGAACAATATTATTTTGGTTATTTTTAA